TGAGCAAGACCCCCGCCCCCACGGTCTCTTTAGCGATTGGTCGGTGCAGAGTACCTCGGTTCCCAATTGGTCACGGGGTAGGGCGGCTTCATGACCCGGAAGTGGTCTCGGAGGCGGCGGCCGCGTGGTTCGTTTCTTCACCAAGCGGGGTGCCGCAAGCTGCTGAGATGACCAAACTAAAGGCGGTCCCCGAGGAGTCGGAGGCGCAGGCGGAGGGCGGCAGCGAGGAGCGCACGTACGAAGAGCTGCTGGTCAACCTGAACCCCATCGCGCAGCCGCTGGCTTCCCGCCGCCTGACGCGCAAGCTCTACAAGTGCATCAGGAAGGGTGAGGCGGCCGGGCGCGTGGCGCCCGCGGCCCGGGGCGGGCTGCGAGGGCGGCCGGGCGGGGGCGGGCTGGACCAAGTCGCGGCTCACGCTTCTCTTTGCAGCCGTGAAGCAGAAGCAGATTCGACGCGGGGTGAAGGAGGTTCAGAAATTTGTCAACAAGGGCGAGAAAGGGTAAGAACCGGTCTTTCGCTGGTTTTTAAGTTTTGTGTGTGATTTTATTATTTTATTTTTTTTTGCGGCGCTGGGGATTGAACCTAGGGCCTCTGCATGCTAGACATTACTCTGCCGCTTGAGTTTGCGTTTTCAGTTGGTTAAGAAGGAATTCCACCTACCTCGGTGCTCAGTAAAGGTGAAGTTGACTCTGACCAGTCAAGGCTTTCACTACGGACACCCACATCACTTCCAGTGAATGACAGGGAAGAGGACACACACCCAGCCCTCGTAGACTAGAGCCCTGTTCGTTCATTCTGTGGATTGGCAGTACTTTTCCAGACGTCAGGCAACGGGCTGTAGGGAGACATTTTCCCAAGCAGGTCAGAGGATGAAGGCTAGCTTCGGCTACATAGCAAGTTCAAGGCCAGCATGGGCTATGAAAACGTCTCAAAAAGACAAAACAAAAGGCTAGAAGGATGTCCAGGAGTGGTGTTGCAGCCTTTAATCCCAGCACTTGGGAAGCAGAAGCAGGCGGATCTCTGAGTTCCAGGACTGTGTACACAGACCCTGTTTAAAAACAACAAGCCGGGTGGTGGTGGCGCACGCCTTTAATCCCAGCACTAGGGAGGCAGAGCCAGGCGGATCTCTGTGAGTTCGAGGCCAGCCTGGGCTACCAAGTGAGTTCCAGGAAAGGTGCAAAGCTACACAGAGAAACCCTGTCTCGAAAAACCAAAATAAATAAATAAATAATAAAAACAACAACAAGGGCTGGAGAGATGACTCAGGTCCCGAGTTCAATTCTCAGCAGTCATATGGTGGCTCACAATCATCTGTAATGAGATCTGGTGCCCTCTTCTGGTATGCAGGCAGAACACTGTATACATAATAAATAAATCTTGAAATAAAATAAAATAAAATAAGAGAATGGATGAACGTTAGTGTGGGGGGTTGGGATCCTGAGAAGAGTAGGCGCCCAGGCAGGGCAGAGGCTAGTGGTTAAGCATCTGGTGAGGGCCTTTAAATTTTTTGCTTTTTGACTTACTTTGTGTATGAATGTTTTGCCTAAAAGTATGTGTTTGTGCGTCACTGGTGTCCATAGAGACCAAAAGACTGGATTTACAGATGGTTGTGCACCACCCTGTGGGTGCCGGGAATCGAACTTGGACCCTCTAGAAGAGCAGCCTCTTGACACCCGAGGCATCTCTCTAGTCCTCATGGGGCTTTTTAAGCAATAGCAGGTTTGGGTTTTGTTCTCAGAACAAAGTGACAGCCGAGTAGTGATTCCAGGAAAGAATTAGTCAGATTTAGGAACCTGTTGTAGCCCAAGTGAGGTGATGGGGCACGAGTGAAGGCTGGTGGCTTTGAGAGGACAGTGACAAGTCTGTGCCTTCTAGATGCTGGTTTGCGCTGTAGTCTGTGACTGCAGACAGTGGAGGAAAACCAGGTTTATGTGAAGTGGGTCCTTTATGACGCGCGCCTGCATGCATATATGTGCGTACATATGCACTCTGGTGCATATGTGGATGTCAGAGGACAACTTGTGAGTGTTGATTTTCTCCTTCCACCATTTGGGTTCCAGGAATTGAACTCAGGTGGTCAGGGCTGGCAGTGAGTGCCTTTATCCACTGAGGGCCATCCTGAGTTGACACAGAAAATGCCCTGGACATGCTCTGCTTAGCTGTCCTACTGGCAGATGGTTGTGTGTTTGGTAGGACAAATGGAGCCTGGTACCTCCAGGTGGCACCTGGTACCATGATTATGGGTCGGTGCAGCCAAGGAGAAGGGACCACAAGGGAGGGCAGCCAAGCAGGAGGCAGTGAGGACCGGCCCTGTGCCAAAGGGAATGGAGTATAGAAGCAGGGTTTTGAACCAAGGGCTCTTGATGTGTCCCTACCCTTAGAGAACGCTCTGCCTTCCGGGTGGATCTTTAGGACTTCTGGGTCTGTACAGCACACTGACAATTCACAGCCTTAATTGAGGGCTCTGCCAACTTCCTCTTGGGACAGACCCTGTCTGTTGGTCACACCCTGGGGTGTGACCCCTGCCGACCTCTGCAGCTTTGTTCTCTGGCCCCTCCTGGTATGTACTGCCAAAGGCAGCCCTTGGTCTTGACAACCAGCCTTTCGGTGCCACTCTGATCCCTTGGCCTTGTTCTGCCCCTGCCGGTCTCTTTTCAAGAGTCACCTCCTAGTTGGAACATCACTGACTCCTAGGAGCTAAGTTCCTCTTTCTTGGCATTCCTCCCATACCTCATCTGTCCCAGCACTGTACTGCTGTCACATTTGGTGGCATTTATGTGCTGTCAAGCAGAGATCATGTCCCCCAGAAGGAATGCATTTGCCAAACACGACTTTACACCCTCCTCTCAAGTTGGAGGCTGGCAGTGACTGTGGGCTGCTTGGGGCAGGGCATCTTACTCATCTCTGCTCTCACAGCCCAGCTGGAGGTAATGCTCACAGTGAACAGCTGAAAGGGAAGGAGGAGCAAAGAAGAAATGATGGTGGTTTCTCTCATTGCAGAATCATGATTTTGGCAGGAGACACGCTGCCGATTGAGGTGTACTGCCATCTTCCAGTTATGTGCGAGGACCAGAACTTGCCCTATGTCTATATCCCCTCCAAGACGGTGAGGAGCTTATGCCCACTTTGCCCCACTCCCGACTTGGCCCTAGGTAGGCTATATGAGGAAGAAACTCAAGTGTTAGAATTCACAGGTCTGGGTGGCTTGTTTCTTTCCTTGTTGAGATGGTTTCTCCTTCTGTCACCCAGGCTGGTCCCCGCCCCCGCCTCTGCGGCTCAAGCAGTCAGTCCTTCTGCCATAGCCTTCTGTGTGGCTGGGACTAAAGTGCATGACATGGTTGGTAGATTTCCTTCTTGTAAGATGGGAATCTTCAGTATGTCAAGAATGGAAACAGACTGCATTTGAATGTGCCTTATGAAGTCTTGTACATCCGTGATTGCACTGTTTAGTGGGTTTGTGATCAGAGCAGTTGGAGGGACCTTCAGCTGTCCTTGTGCATACATAGCAAGGACATGACTAGAGCACAAGGAGTGAAGGGTGGCGGGGACTTGTAAACCAGAGGCACTGCCCTGCCTATAGGGATACCCTCCTAGGCCATGTGGGAATACTCAGTAGAGGCTTGGGGGACCATGTCTTGAAAGCTTAGTTTGAGTTGAAATGGTTGACAACTAATCTGAAATATTCTTAAATGTAGTGTGTACCAACAGGACATGGCTGTAGGCCAGATTAGGCTGGTGGGTCACTTGTGGCCCTGGTCTCAACAGTTTTCTCCTGTTTTGTGCAGGACTTGGGTGCAGCTACCGGTTCCAAGCGTCCCACCTGTGTGATCATGGTGAAGCCCCATGAGGAATATCAGGAGACCTATGACAAGTGCCTGGAGGAGGTGCAGGCCCTGCCAGCGCCTCTGTGAGAGACTTGGGCTGCAGCCTATTCTAGGAGCTGCTGGGCTGGCTGCAGGCAGCTGCCCACTCTAACCGCATCTCCCCGGTTTCCTGACGTGTGAAATCTTCCCAGGCAGCTGTTCTTGGAGGTAGAGCCAGCATCTTTCCATCAGTGCCATCTCCTGTTGAGCTTAGATGAAGACAGTTCCAAGAATGTGGGGTGGAAGTAAATGCTGAGGCGAAAATGTGGTGAGTGTGTGGGTGTTTTTTAAACTCCAGGGGCTGATGGAGCCAAGATGTTGGCAGGAGGAACGGAAGCAGCTTTTCATTAAGAGAGTCCCAAGAGTGTACCTCACAAATGCTCATGCTGTCTACGGCCCACCCAAGTCTTCAGTTCCCACTCCAGGACAGGTGGGGTCTTAGAGATGAGGCAGCAGGGCCCAGGCTCTACCTCATAGAAGCCTGTGGTCCCTGGGTCAGGGGTGTTCCCAATAGCCTTATGTATCTGTAAAATTAGTTTGCCCACCCACACAGTAAATTTTCAATAGGAAATGAAGCTAAATACACAGCCCAGGCCCGGAGGCTGGAGAGATGGCTCAGCAGTTAAGAGCACTGGCTGCTTTTCCAGAGGCCCTGGGTTCCCAACACCCACATGGTGGTTCACACCTGTCTGTAATTCCAGTTCCAGAAAACTAAACTCCTCTTCTGGCCTCTTAAGGGCACCAGACACATGGTGTACAGACATACATACAGGCAAAACACCCACACACAAAGACCTCAGGTGCTCTGACTTGATAAGACTTGGAAGCATTTTAAACTTAAGGTTCCTTCCTATAAAAAGCCCCACACAGGATCAGGACACAGCAACCTAGTTAAAGCACCCTGGGATAATCAGGTGGATTTGGGCTTAAGGTCCAGAGCTGGTTGGAACTATAAGCTTTCTTCTTCCTGTGTCCCTTACAGTTATATGTTTATATGGGAAAGCACCCTGCCCAGGTCTTCCATCCAGGTTTCCCTCTAACCACAGGTGCTAGATGGTAGTGCTAACGTCAGGCCATGCCCAGTACCTTATGCAGCAAACAGTCATTTGTCAGTGAAGCTCAAACTTGACCAGCAGTAAGGAGAAGGGCTGTGAATATATTTGTTCAAAGTTACAAAACCGCATCCAGTTCTAACGGGCTATTTACAGTAGAGAATAGATACATACAGTTGGCTGTACAGTAGGAGGTGGACCACAGCTGGACCCCCCTGGTTTGAGGGCAGGAATAGAAAGATGTCTGCTTTTGATAGCCCAAGCCTTTGCTGCTCAGTCAGGGGCAAGTGTAAACAGGAAGACAGCAGGAACACAGCACCAGTCCCCCTTGCAGCCAAGAAGTGTAGGCTGGTTCACGGCCTTCCTTGGCCTCTGCCTGGGCAGGCCAGGCCTCTTGGTAGTGCTGGTCTGAGAGGCATCACAATCCACTGAAGCCAGTCCCTCCACCACGGCAGACCAAGGCCCATGGGTGGATTAACACCTTCCAGCAAAAGGCTCCTTGCAATCAGAATATGATCCGTTTCCCATCTGCTGGATTCTGCTCCATAGGACAGTAGGGACACTTGAGCCTGCAAGGAAAGGCAAAGGAAGAACATCTCAGGGCAGGCCAAGAATGCCAGGCTAGGGTGAAGCCAGGCAGGGGGAACTCACTTTCCTCCATTGATGAGCTTGTTGAGTGCATCTCGGGAGATGACATGGCCACAGATGAGCTTGATGGGAGGGTTGGAATCTGAGGTCTGCTGTCGCAGGATGGGACATGCAAACACGGAGTGATACCAGCACTTCATGCCCAACTCGATCTCAATCTGAGGAGGCCAGCAAAAGGCTGAGTGCCACTTCCTGTCTGAGCGGTGTACCCCAGCACCTGCCTCTGGGGGTCCCTCCCAGCCAGGCCTTACCGGCAGCTCATCCTTGTGACTCCACACGCCAGTGCACTGCCTCTGTTCGATGACAGCTTTGATGTTCATCAGCACTGGCAGCGCCACACAGCCAGAGGCAAAGCTGAGGGACAGCAGAGGCGGAAGCAGCTGGGGTCACAGGCAGCAGCAGACAAAGAACCCGCACACCGTCCCAAGTAGGGCCGGAGACAAGGTTCTAAAGTGGTGTCAAGTCAGACTGGTCCTTGAATCACTTAATTTAACTTACGAGTACAAGTGTGTGCTTACGTGTGTGTATGTGGACCATGTGCATGCTTGGGCCAGAAGAGTGTCAAATCCCCTAGAGCTGTAGCTAATGAGAGCTGTGAGCCACCCTGTGGGTGCTGGGAACCAAACTCAGGTCCAAAGCAAAAGCAGCAAGTACTCTTAACCCCCTGAGCCATCTCTTCTCCCAGACTGCTCCTAGAGAGCCACATACATAGCCAGGTTTATTCAGTTCCATATCTGCTCTAATGTATCCCAAAATTTGGAAAGGTCAGTATAGAAAAGATGAAGTGCTTGTCCAAGACGGTGGAAAGCTCCTGATGGGGACAGTGCTCAGTTGACAGGGCCAGAGCCTGCCTGTAGTCTAACCAACTCTGTTACCATGGTACCCAGTCAGAGTCGGCCAGCAAAGACATCTATAAATGCATTCTATCTCAAGATGATGGGTAGCAGGGAGCCCACAGACAGGAACCCTCCCCAATAGCTCCTCTCGGGGCAGTGGTGACCTTGCTGGGAAATGCTGTTGTGACAAGTCCACAGCAACAGCACAGGTGAGTGCAGCCTGTTCTCTGCAATATGACAACTGTCCACTGGTGCAGTCTTTCTGGGGCCAGTCTAGGTGCTCTTTGTTCCTGTGAAACCCTGCAAGTTAGCTCATGGCAAACCTCCGTCTTATCTGTTAACTGGGTTAACGGGACTTCTAACTTGGCCCTGTTATGGAGTGAGCAGAGACCACTGTAGATAAATCAAGCATGTTACTTAGCACCCCAGTCTCCACGTAGGGAGGTGATGTTTTGGTGAGGTTGTGAGGATGGCTGGGTTATTGAGAGGGTGGTGTAGTTTCCCAAGGTTACCTAACGTGCAGGAGAGGTGGGCCCTGTCTAACCATAAAAAACAAGCAGTGTCTGTCTCCTGGGAGGATGCTCAGCCAGCTTAGGTTTGTGAAAGCACACAGCAGGGTCAGCACAGTTGTCCTCCCTGCCTGTGCCTTTGTGTTGAGGAGGCTGGGTTGTACCTGACACTAAGTGGGGACTCCACTGAAAGCCCCAGCAGGGAACATGCATCCCGAGTAAAGGTCTCACAGATCTCCGCCCAGTGGCTGTTGTCTAGGAGGTGGCAGTAGGGTGACTTCTCCAAGCCCAGCCGCAGGTACACCAGGCTGCCCATCATCACCTGGATCTCTACAAAGATAATAGGATGGCAGTTCAGGGAAGGCAGAGGCTCTGGGCCATACCCTAAGGAGCCGCAGGGCTGCTGCCAACATGGAGGCAGCAGGTAGGACAGTGAAGCTGTCTCCAGCTTTCTGACTGCATCAAAAGTCTCTGCTTGGCAGAGAATGTTTCCACTCACCAACTCTAATCCCTCCCCCGCTTTTTTTGAGACAGGTCTCTATATAGACAAGGCTGATCTCAAACTGCATCCGTGTGCAGGATTAAAGGCATACACCACTATGCCCGACTTCTCCCTTTTAACAGCAAATCTAGGTTTGGTTTGAAACTTTCAGGAGGCAGGAGGAACTAAAACTGTCTATGGGTGGAGGTGGCTCAGTAGTATAACAGCTGTCAGTAGTAAAGCAGTATTGATAAAGTCTGGTTCCATCCCCAGTACCACAGAAAATAAAATCACTGCTTTTGTGTTCTATTTATTGTGTTTTATTTCTTTTTCTCTTCCCCAACCCACAAGACAGGGTTTCTCTGTGTAGCCCTGGCTATCCTGAAAATTGCTCTGTAGACCAGGCTGGCCTTGAACTCACAGAGATATGCTTGCCTCTGCCTCCCAAGTGTTGGGGTAAAGGTGTGCACCACCAATAACCAGTGATTTTTTTTTTTTTTTTTTTTTTTTTTTTTGGTTTTCTGAGACGATTTCTCTGTGTAGCTTTGCACCTTTCCTGGAACTCGCTTTGGAGACCAGGCTGGCCTCGAACTCACAGAGATCGCCTGGCTCTGCCTCCCGAGTGCTGGGATTAAAGGCGTGCGCCACCACTGCTCGGCTAATAACCAGTGATTTTTATTTTTTAATATTCTTGTGTTTCTATCTGTGGTCTTTAATTCTTGAGTCAGGGTCCTGCTATTGCCATGCTAGCCTAAACTCTGAGACTAAAGTGGTCTTCCTGCCTTAGCTCTGCCTCTGATTTGGACTTCACTTTAGAGGCAAAAGGATCAAAAGTTTCTGAATTGTGGGGAGCCATCTTTCTGGTAAACAGAACTGTTTGTGGGTACAATGACAGACTACCTGACATGTCCAGACACTGGCTGGAGAGCCTAACCCCTATCCCCCAGCACCTTGGGCACTTACCTCTCTGGTGCAGCCGAGCAAAGGGCTGGAAGTGCCGGGCATAGCTGAGGGCCTCCAGCTGCTTCTCAGGGCCACCAGCTAGAAGGCGGATAAAGTGCAGCCGGTGCAGCTTGAACTCCAGTGAGCTGTTGAGCTCCAGCAGGCGCTGCCGATGGGATACAGCCCATCTGGGGAGAGAGAACACAGTGTAGTGCAGTGGGTGGTGGCTACAGAGGGCCGTAAAGGACAATGTGGATTCCTAAGGCAGGGCTGGCATAAGACAGGCATATCAGGTGAGAGGACCACAAGCTCCATGTGGGCACCCTTACTCCAGTGCAGGTCCCAGGTCTTGCTCATGTAGAGCTTCCAAGATCCGATTCAACTCCAAGAAGGGCTGCTTGAAGTCCAGGTCCACATTCAATGTTGATTCCTAGGGAAGATAGAAGATAGTGTCCCCAAAATTCTGCCCATAGTAAAACTTCGTCAGCCAAAGGTTAGCTGAAGAAAGGCAATGTTTACCAGAGGAATTGTGGTCTGCCAGTAGCATGAGCCCCTGTTCAGTGTCCAGTTTGCTGAGGCTAAGCACCATCATGGTCAGCCACAGTGAAGGGCCTTTCCCTCTACTGCAGAAAGTCCCCAGGCCTGGCACTGAACGGCAGAGTGAGAAAATGACTTTTAATCTACCTGATTACATTAAGGCAGTCTCCTTCCATTCCCAGTGTGTTTAACACCTAACTAGTGCTATTTGCCATTTTGTTTAATCCCCTTAATAAAAAAGGAGAGCAAGCCTTGGCTCCATGCCCTGGCAGGCAACCAATTCTAACTAGAAATCAGTAACTTTGTTTTTTATCAGATACCCTTAGATCTACCTCCTATTTTGTGGTAGGAGGACCAAATTCCTTTCTAAAATCAATAGAATGTCAGTGACTAGGCCATGGGGGGGCCATGCACACCTGCAGTCCCAGCCCTTGAGAGAAAGGGGGAGAAGGACCAGCTGGAGGCCAGCTTCGGCTGTATAGCCAGACTTTAGCTCAGAAACACAAGAGACGGTGTGGTATCAGCATGGAGAGAGGCAGGAGGATCTCTGAGTTCCAGGCGTTTCTCAACAACAAAACAAAAATAGTCAAGAATGTCAGGGTCGGGATAGAAGACTAGCAGATGATGCAATTGGCTGGGTATGGTGGTGTGCATACCCATAACCCCAGGATTTAGGGGGCTGAGGCAAGAGGCTAACAGTGAGGCCAGGATGGGTTACACAAGCAAAACCATCTCATCTCAAACAGAGGAGAGATGTAAGTGTCCCTGTGCTCCCAAGGCCAGCATTACCTGGCACAACTCCTCAGCTACGCTGAGCATGCCTTGCTGGTACAGGTGCTCCACAATGGCCATCTGCAGGATCTGCTGCTGCTTCTCACGGGAGTCCCACACGGCATCCGAGACTACACCGCAGATCTCAGAGTCAAAGTTCTAACAGAGAAGAGATGGATCTGTGACTCGGGCGCTCACACTGTTGCTGCCAAGCCAGCACACATTAGCTAGCGCTGGAGTGTTCCCACCCACCAACCCTGTGCCACCCACACACTCACCCTGTCAATGGCTTTGCCCACTCGGGAGACGCTGCTGTGAATGTCCTTGTGGTCTGACGCCAGTTTCTGGACTGTGTCTTTGATCTTCCGACAGCACTGGGACATTACAAGGGAGAGGGTGGCTGAGAGAGGGGTCCCCTGGAGAGCTGTGGAGACAGCAGACTGGTCAGGACGCAGGGCCTAAGCACCTGCTTCTGCAGCAGACTGTCTGCTTCCTCCTACATGCCAGTGTGGTGGCCCAGAAGACAGCCCTGCACGCCAGAGTTGAACTACTTCCTGTCTAGTCAGCTACTTTCTTTGTTCTCACTATGTACCTCTGGCTGTCCTGGAACTCGCTCTGTAGACCAGGCTGGCCTTGAACTCACAGAGATCCTCCTGCCTCTGGTTCAAGAGTGCTGGGATTACCAGCCACTTTCTAATGTGAGACTTGGAAGTGGCTAAGTGTAACAAGACAGGATGTGTTGTTTTGTTTTTTTAAGATTTTAGCCTGGTGTTAGTGGTACACACCTTTAAACTCAGCACTCAGGAGGCAGAGACAGGTGAATTTGTGTGAGTTCAAGGCCAGCCTGGTCTACAGAGTTGAGTTCCAGGACAGCCAGGGCTATCTAGAGAGACCTTGTCTCAAACAAACAAAAAATGTATTTAGTTAATTGCATGGGGGTGGGGAGTGGGAGAACATGACACATATGTGCCATGATGTACCCTGGAGGTCAGAAGACAACTTTCATGAGTGGGTTCTCAGCTTCCATCATGAGGGTCCCAGGGATTAAACTCAGGTAGTCAGGCATGGTAGCATCTGTCTAGCCCACAAGCCAGGACCTTGGTGATACCATTTTCTCAGCTGTAAAATTCTACGTTGCTGTGAATGCTGACTTGGCTCCTGTGTGCTCTATTGTGTATTGGCTGTACTGCAGGCTTTCCTGTGGACTGTCAGGTTAAACTCAGAATTACTCTGAACCCAGTGATTCTACTTCTAGAAGAAATGGGAATGTGTCCACAAAAAGCCGTGTGTGAACACTCTTCCTAACATTCTTCAAGATAGCCAAGAGGTAGAAACAACCCAATGTCCATCTGCTAATGGATACAGAATACCATACATGCATACAATAAGATATCAGTCAGCCTTAGAAGGTATAAGGTGCTGAAAAATGCTACAATAGAAATAAACCCTGAGAACATCACCCCCTCCCCCACTCCCCCCAAAAAGGTAAATAAAAGTTAGTTGAAAACAAAATGTCAATGTTAGTAATTTCAGGTAAATTAGTCATTTCTGTTAGGTTTTCTGAACGAGCTGAGGCTTCCTTTGCCACCTTCAAGAAAGCCTAGAGATGCATGTCCAAGACTCCCACCCAGTCAGTAGCCTAGGGCTACATGACCCTAGGGGTGGCCCTACCGGCACTGGCCAGCTCAGTCCTCAGCTGACCCACGTAGTGCAGCAGCTCCTCCAGACTCTGCTCGCAGTGTTGCCCGTAGGTCAGGAACTTGTGCAGGACTTTGTCGAGCTCCCTCTCCACGCATGCACACTGTTCCATGGTGGCCTCTGCCTAGTGAAGTCAACGGGGTCAGGCCAATGTGTGTGTGTGGGGACCCCCACAGCATTGCTTCTGGTCCCTCTCACCCTTCCTGAATAACACATCAGTCCCCTGCTAAACATAGTGCTTCCCAGCCATCCTCGCTGAGGTGTCCAGAGGATGACGAAGGCTAGAGTTCGAGGCTAGCCTGGTCTACAAAGCAAGTTCCAGGACAGTCAGGACTGTTACACAGAGAAACCCTGTCTTGAAAAACAAAACAAAGAAAATTACTGTCTTGAACTTTTTGCCCTGTTATCTTTGTCCTGCCCACCCACCCCCCACAACACACACTTTTTGTTTTTTTGAGATAGGGTTTCTGGAACTCCTCGATTTGTAGACCAACTGGCCTTGAACTCACAGAGATCTGCCTCCCAAGTGCTGGGATTAAAAGCATGTGCTACCACCAGTCATTCAGCCCAATACACAACTCTTTAAAAGATTATTACTTATGTGTGTGCATGTGGGTGTCAGAGGAGATCAGAAATGGGCTTCGAATCTCTTGGAGCTAGACAGCTACTCCATATGGGTGCTAGAACCCAAACTGGTCCTCGGAAAGAGCAGCGACAGCCCATGACTACTGAAGCTTCTCTACAGCCATCCACCCCTTTTGCGGGGGGTGTTTTTTTGAGACAGGGTTTCTCTATGTAGCTTTGGAGCCTTTCCTGGAACTCACTCTGTAGCCCAGGCTGGCCTCGAACTCACAGAGATCCACCTGCCTCTGCCTCCCAAGTGCTGGGATTAAAGGCATGCGCCACCACCCGGCTACAACCATCCCTTTTTAATGTACGGAGTAACCTTGAGTATCATCCACAAAAATGCTGTCTACTTCTTTTTTTTTTTTTTTTTTTTAAAGATTTATTTATTTATTGTGTATACAGCATGTATGACTGCAGGTCAGAAGAGGGCACCAGATCATTACAGATGGTTGTGAGCCACCATGTGGTTGCTGGGAATTGAACTCCTGACCTCTGCAAGAGCAGTCAGTGCTCTTAACCTCTGAGCCATCTCTCCAGCCCCTGTCTACTTCTTTTTAGAGTGGGTCTCTCACTAACCTGGAGCTCATCAGTTGGGTCAGACTGGCTGGCCAGTGAGCCTCGGGGATCCTCTGGTTTCCAGCTCCCTAGTGCTGAGATTACAAGCATGAACCACCATACCTATCATTTCTTTAAATGACATTTTTCCCCTCAAGAGACAGGGTTTCTCTGTGTAGCTCTGGCTGTCCTAGAACTCGCTTTGTAGACCAGGCTGGCCTCAAACTCAGAGATCTGCCTGCCTCTGCCTCCTGAGTGCTGGGATTAAAGGCGTGTGCCACCACTGCCAGGCAAATTGCCTTATTATTTTATGTGTATGGGTGTTTTGCTTCATGTACATACATATGTGTTGCAGGATATTTGATCGCACTGTGAAACTGCAAGACTGTGTTAATAAAATTAATCTTGGATCTGGGGCTGGAGCCAGTGACAGGAATTACCTATAGAGAGGACAGAGGAATTAGGAATATGGATAGACTCACAGGAAGGAGTAGGGAAGGACTTAGAGATTCAAGGTCTTTTTTTGGTTTGGGACAAGTGGAGAGACACTCTCTTGCTGAGTCTCCCGCCAAAAAGGAAGGTCAGCTGGTTGCTTCTGGATTCTCTGATCTAGCAGGTTTTCACCCCCACATCTGACTCCTGAGTCTTTATTGGTAAATACAATGATAGGCTTAGTTAAAACCTACATTTGGGGGGCTGGAGAGATGGCTCAGGGGTTAAGAGCACTGACTGCTCTTCCAGAGGTCCCGAGTTCAATTCCCAGCAACCACATGGTGGCTCACAACCATCTGTAATGACATCTGGTGCCCTCATCTGGCCTGCAGGGATACATGCAGACAGAACACTGTATATGTAATAAATAAATCTAAAAAAAAAAAAAAAAAAAAAAAAAAAAAACCCTATAAACGAGTCTGTCTAGCATTTAAAAAAAAAAAAAAAAAAAAAAAAAAAACCCTACATTTGGTGGCAGAGCCGGTGCCAGCGGGACCGGAAATCCTCCCCAGGCCACAGTCTGAGCTGTGGGGTGCTGACTACCGGACACAGGCAGTAGTTAAAATATCAGTAGATTCAGGTGCAGCCACCAAGCCAACAGAAAAACGCCATGTGTACCATGTATGTGCAGTGCCCGCAGAATCCAGAAGAGGGCACTGGATCCCCTCACAGATAGTTAGGAGCTACCTTGTAGATGCTGGGAAATCAAACCTGGGCCTTCTAGAAATACAGCCAGCGCTCTTAGCTGCTGAGCCATTTCTCCGGCCCCAACAACTGGCATATTTTTTTTATTTTTTACAGGGTTCTGGGTGTCAAATTCAAGTCCTAAAGGGCACTTCAGGGACTGATCCTCTGACAAACCCTCTTTTCTTTCTTTTTTCTTTTCTTTCTTTTTTTTTTTTTTTTTCAAAACAGGGTTTCTCTGTGTATCTTCGGAGCCTGTCCTGGAACTCGCTCTGTAGACCAGGCTGGCCTGGAACTCAGAGATCCGCCTGCCTCTGCCTCCTGAGTGCTGGGATTGAAGGCGTGCACCACCACCGCCCAGCTCAGTTCCTTTCTTAATCAGAAGACTGGGCCTCAGTGGGTTCTCAGCAGTCTCTATGGCAGAACCACCTAGACTCACACTGCATGTAATTCATATGTTCACAGTGGAATTGGTTTTTCATGTACCGTAGGAGGATAAGCCATGAAGGCAGTTCTGGAATGGCTGTTAATTCCAAGTGCAGCTTCAGGAATAACCACCAACTGTGCAGGCTGGATGGGCCTCCCCTGCTGCTCGACTCCTGACAGCTCCTTGGATCTGGACAGCTAGAACCCTTGCTCTCACAGCTTCAGGCCCTGGAACATGATGTGGCCTCTCCCTGGTTGAGTCCTCCAGCCCAACCTCCCAGTTGTCACAGGCATCTGGCCCGAGCCTCACCTACCTGCCTCCCTCCACTCTCACTCTGTACCCTTAGTCCTGAACACTGAGTGATGAGGACTGAGGGCCTGCCTCCCTGCCACACAGATGCTTTCTTGCTCAATTGTGCATGGAAAAGGATCGAGGGAGGAGGGAGGGATTTATGTGTGATGTGTATTACATGTATGCATGTGTCTGAGCACAGGCACATGTGGACATGGAGATCAGAGGACAGCCTTGGGTGTCAGTCCTCACCTTGTTTGAAACATGGTTTCTCTGTTGTTCACCGCTGCGTAATCCAGGCTAACTGGTTTGAGAGCTTTTAGTGACAGTTCTGCCTCCCGTAGAAATGGAATGCCGGGGATTAGTTATCCTCTACCATGCCTGCCTTTACAGGGGTTCTGGGAATTCAAACTCAGGTCCTTATGCTTGTATAGCAAGCAACATTGAGCCCCCCCCCCCCTCGCCCCACGGCTGACTCCTGACTCCACCGCCTCATGTGGGCTCCTCCTAACCCTCCCCACTCTGCTCCTCCCCGCTTTTTTTTTTTTTTTTTTTTTTTCTCAAGACAGGGTTTCTCTAAGTAGTCCTGGCTGTTCTGGAATTCAGAGATCCACTTGCCTCTGTCTCTCAGGTGCTGGGATTACAGTCATTCACCACTGTACTCCCTTTTAAGGAGCCTTCAACATGGAGTACACAGATAATCCTCAGAATGTTGGCAACAGAGTAGATCTTCTGTGCCCACACAGACTAGAAATAAGAGGACTGAGTTATGTGTCCCTCCAAAGGAGTCAATGTAGCCAGCTAGCCACTCTCTCAAAACAATGGTGTCACAAGAAGCCAGTGTCCATGGTGACCCTGGGATCTTCCCACTTCCTCCACTCTCCTAGTCCCCCAAGCACCAGCCATCTCGGCTTGACCATCTCAGCCCCACTTACTGATGGGGACAAATGACAGGAAAGCGCTGGGCCTTGGCTGATAATATCCTATACCCTAAAATTTGTAATCATAGTGTTCAGAGATGTCACACCCCCAAAACCAAACTGGACAGTTATAAGATATTATAGGTAAAATATAACAGGGACTCCCATTTAAAATGATACAATTATTTTCCTTGGTAATAACATTCCCAGAGGCTCGTTATGTGCTAGGCTCTGCTCCAATGACTTCATCCATTAACTCATTCACTTAATTCTCACAACACTATGAGGTAGGTATGGTTATTAGACCCACTTTGCAGCTGAGAAAACGAGACAGGGAAAGATAAAATAAACATCCCAAGGCCACACAGCTGGGGCGTGGAGGAGTGGGAACAGAAGGAAGCCTGCTATCTGGCTCCAGGCTGAGGCCCTCTCCTTAAGGACTTTGCACAAAAGGACCAGCAAAGCAGGCCGCTGGCCTCGCAGGAAAGGAAAGCGGGCTGTGTGTGCATATGTGTGTATGGCTGGGATGAACTCATAGGGCCCATCAGTTGTGACAACAAACAGGAAATTAAACTGGAGTGAACGCAAACCACCAGCTTCCAAGAGGGTCTTGATACCAGAGCCACATTTATCACAGATTAACACGCTCAAGGACAGGACCTCATCATGGTCAAACGTCTGGCCCTGCCAGATACCAACTGAGACTAGAACCACCATCGGAGGGAAGCCATGAACCTATGAAAAAGAGCTGAGGATGGGCCAAGCAAATGGCTCAGTAGGTAAGGAGCTTGCCACCCAGCCTGGTGATCTAAATATGATCCATGGAACCACATGGGAACCACGGGTGGAAAGAGGAAGGATGCCACAAAGCTCTCCTCTGACAAATGTGTGCCATGGCATTCAGGCCCAGTTCCCAATAATAAATAAATACATAAATCTTAAAGCTGAAGAAAGCCAGGTGTTGGTGGTATACACCTTTAATTTTAGTAATGGGGAAGAAGAGGCAGACCAATCATGGTTAGTTCCTGGCCAGCCTGGGCTACATAGTGGGAACGTGCACCCTGCTCCCCACAACAACAACAAAAGAATTAAAAAGCCGAGGACTGGGCTGAGGAGACGGCTTCATTGGTAAGGTGCTTGTCACACCTGTTGGATTAAAGGCGTGTGCTACCAGCCCGGTTACATCCACCTCTTTACACTAAGTTCTAGGGATCCGACTCAGGCTTTTCCTCACTGAGCCAGCTCCCTTGGGCAGCCTCCTTTTCTGCATCACAAACCTAATGTGTCAGTCCCACACAGATCTGAATCCTTCTGACTGATTCTTCACATGTGTCTCCCCCATGGGACTACCAGCTAAGCAAAGCCTGGAGACTAGTTTCATGCTCTCCGGGACCGGGGCCACCACAGGACTGAGTAAGCCCTAACTGTTTCAACAGTACCTGCATTTCCTAGCCTTTCGCTAAGGCTTGAATCAAAAGCTCCCAGTGAGCAGAAGATATGAAGGAAATGTTAAAAATTCCTGCTACAGGGGCTAGGGAGATGCTCAGTGTCAAGGAGCACTTGTTGCTCTTGCAGAGGACTTAGGTTCAGTTCCCAGCACCCACATGGCGCCAACAACCTCCTTTTAACTCCAGTTCCAGAGGCCCTGAAGCTCTCTTCCGACACTGCATTCATGTGTTGCACAGACACACATACAGGCAAAACCACACCCATACACTTAAAAATGAAAACAAAAAAAAATTAAAAATCTGTTGGGTGTAATGGCTTACACCTTTAATTCCAGCACTCAGGACACGGAGGCAGGTAGATCTCTGTGAGTTCGAGGCCAGCCTGGTTTGCAGAGTGAATTCAGAACAGCCAAGGCTGTGTGGCGTAACACTGTCTCTAAATAAATCAATTGATCAATCAATAAATCTGAGTTTGGGTGTGGTGGTGCATGACTTTAATCCCCCCAGCACTTGGCAGAAGCAGGTGCATCTTTGTGAGTTCGTGGCCAGCCTGGTCTACTTAGGAAAGACAACAACAAAACAAACAACCAGCGCTTTATCCAAACAAACTCCTCATTCTAATCACTCACCCCCCCTCACTCGCCATACTCTACCACCACCGGCCTTTCTGTTCCAGCGTACATCCAGTTTAGTTTGCTTCCACCCTCTGCCTGGAACACTCTCTCTTCACGTTTTTCCATAGCTGGCTCCTTATTTAGGTCTCGACACAAGTGTCATCTTTTCAGACCACAACATCTAATGCCCTATACTTTACCCTCAAACAAATCATATCTCTATTAATACTAAAAAGTTTCAAATCGTAATCTCTTCACCTAAAACTGAAAGGACGGGAAACTCCACCATTTACCCTAGGGAACTTCCACGACCCGGACTTCACCCGCATTTTGGTGCAAAAGACTGGCAAACTCCTACTCATTCTTCCAGAGACCCTCCTGCAGTGCCCAGGCAGGACTCCACCGCCCGCAGCTGGTTACCTCTGACCCAGTCGGGTGCACTAAGATGGGACGTCTGAGTCGGGGCGACTCCACCAGCCCTTGGAAGGTGTGGCCGACGACTGCTCCGGGCTTTGGTCGGGGCGCCCCGCACCCCGGGACCCGGAGCCGGGCGGCTGTCACCTAGTCCTGCAGCCCAGCCGGCTTCCGGCGCCGCTGTCATCGGAACCGGAAGTCGCGGCGGTTGCCCCTCGGGTGGGTCCGGGCTCGCCCATGCGCGTTGTCGGGGAGCGTGGGGAGACTGTCCGTCTAGCCCGTGCCTTTGCCCAGAGTGCGGAATGGAATCGCCCGCGGGAGCCAGGCGGCAGTCAGCGCCTGCGCAGCGCCCGGGCGCCGCTTCCCTGGGACCCCGAGCGAACCTCGGTTTCCGCCGTCCGGAACCACCGGAGGGTGGTCCCGGGTTTCTACCGGAAGTCTTAGCCGGCGTACCTACCTAACTGGAGTCCCGAACCGCAAGTCCTATCTATAGTCCTGGGTCTCAAATGTTGAGGCTGGGCTTGGGAAAGCTGATGCTGGAGGAGCGCCGCGAGGTCCAGACCAGTGTGGACTACAAAGTGAGACTCTGTCTCAGAAAATAAACAAAGCTGGGCACTGTGGCACCTGCCTATAATCCTATAATTATAGGAAGATCATTAGTTCAAGGGCACATAGTGAAGTAGGCCAGCCTGAGCTATTTGAGACCTTGTCTCAAATAAACAGAAACAAAAACAAAACGGGCGTTGCTCAGCGGTGGAGAGGTTGCACGCGCAGGTCCCTCGGTCCATCCCCTCGGTCCATCCCCAGCACCCGAAAAATAAAAATTTCAAAAGACCGTTACATGTACGTGGCTCAGAGATTCCGTATTTCCTGTAATGCTTTTTGAAATAGCAAATAATGTTTAAAGGCAGAGTCCTGTGGCAAGGGGTAAAGTGCTTGCAATGCAAGCATGAGGACCTGAGTTGGGATCCCTGGTACTGTTATAAAACAGGCCCGTAACTGCAGCACGGGGGTGGGCAGTGCATGAGGATACCCGGGCGTGCTTGCCAGCTGAGGTCGCTGAAAAGCAGAGCGCCAGGCTCAATAAGAGACCATGTCTTAAGAGACTAAGGTGGAGAGTGATGGAGCGAGACAATCAAAATGCTCCACACACTTGCGCAACCACACCCGCGTACACACGTTCACATTACACGTACACAACTTTAAGATTGTTTTTTGTCCTTGACAGTCGCCTAACCCTGTGCTTCCACAGCCCCCGGACCTGCTGCTCTCTGTGAATCGCCCCTCTTTAGTGGTAAGATGGAGTAGGGAGTTGTGTATCTGCCTTAATTAAAAAGGGTGAAGGAGCCGGGCGGTGGTGGCACATACTGTGAGTTTGAGGCGGGAAAAAGAGGGGGAGCAAAGGTACAAAAGGAGAGGAGGTGGTAATCCCCAAACTGAAAAGGACTAAATTTTTTAATTTTAATTTTTAAATTTTTAAAAAATTTTATTTTTTTTTTTCTTTTTGTTCTTTTGAGACAGGGTCTTCGGTACCCCAGACTGACCTTGAACTCCTTGTGTCAAGAAGGACATCTTTCCACCTCCTGTGTACTGAGATTACAGGTCACCACCCAGGGTCCTCCTCCATCCCCTCCTTCCTTGGAGCAGAATAAAGAAGACTCTCTTCTCTCTCAGATCTGAGGAAGACAAGCAGCTTTTTACTGCTGGTTTCCCTCCGGCCATTTATGGCCCCCTCTTCCGCCTCCCCCACCTTGCACAATCTAGCTTTGTTTTCTTTACAGCCTTGGCTTGAAATCGTGTGTTTGTGTTGATTCTGTCTCCTTTCCCCTATCTCTACCTCCCCCAACGTTTAGGATAAAAGCTCCATTGGACTCAGGACTTAGTCCTCATCGCTACTGGAACAGAATAAGCACAGAGATGCTGGGAGCTGACCGACATCCTCTGCTTATAAAAGAGGAAACTGTGGTGCACAACCTGCTGAAACACAGCAGGGAAGAGGGCGGTGCAGAGTGTGACACCAGCCGGTAGGGGCATCGTGACCCTAGCATCTTGGAGATGCCTGGCGGTGTCTCGGGAGCCTGGGTGGTCCTGGCCCCACGCGGAAGTCGCGGGGGCGAGAAATTGAATGAGCCCTGCTTGGGGCTAAGAGCCAGAACTGAAGAACCCGAGCAGGCAGGACCTCACAAGCTTTCTAGAACGCCCCAGGCTTTCCCACTTCCTCTCCCGGGATGCCTCACCATCAAGCAGGGTGTGAACAAAGCCGGCTTCTACCGGAACCTGGGGCGGCTCACATTAGAACCTTTGAACCTTTGTGCCTTTCTCACGACGTGGCGGGACTCGCGTTCCGTATTATTCTGTACTTTTCCTATGTATGAGTTTCCTTACTCGCTTGATTCTGTCGCTCCTTCCTCTTTCAGATTGGACTTCTGGTTTTTGTTGGAGCAGAGTGCTTCAAAGTGGAGTGATCAAAAGCTGTTTCTCAGTATTTTCTTTCTTTTGGGCCAGTTTCCTAGGAGATGTTTATTTACTGGTTTTTTGAGACAGGGGTTCTCTGTGTAACAGCTCTGGCTGTCTCCTGGAACTCGCTTTGTAGGCCAGGTTGGCCTCAAACTCACAGAGATCCACCTGCCTCTGCCTCCCAAGTGCTGGGATTAAAGCCATGTGCCACCACTGCCCAGCGAGTTGATTTTTTAAATTAAAGAAGAATGGAAAAACGAAGCTAGAGAGATAGTGTAGTTGGTGAAGTGTTTGCCATGCAAGCTTGAAGACCAGAATTCAATCCCTGGTAACCACCCAAAAAAATCTACCTGTACCCCCAGCACTGGGGAGGCAGATAGGTAGGTCCTTGGGTCTTGATGGCCAGCAAGGATAGCTAAAATAATGAGACCCAGATTCAGTGAGAGACCCTGCCTCAAAAAAGGTGAAGAGTGATTGAAGAATATCCTCAGTGTTAATCTCTGACTTCCATGTACACACACAAACAGGAAAGCCCTCGGTGTCCATTCTATTTTAGAAGGTAGTGCAAATTGTGGCTTATTTTGTCCCATATTTGGAGGTCAAGCCAAACAGCTCTGGTTAAATCGTGTCCCTGCCTTAGGCTTTCCCTTATTCTATAGGGTTTTTGTTGTTGTTGTTGTTGAAAAACAAATGATTTATATCTGGGTCCCCACTCTTTCCACATAAGTATAGATTTATTTTTACACCATTTTCTATCGTTTTTCTTGTTATTGTGTAATGTGATATATTAAAGAGGTGTGATTAAATACCCCCTTGTTAATAAAGAAGGAAAAAAAACCCTGCAAGGTTTTTGAGAAAGTAAACTGGGGGTTACATATGCTGCACAGACTTACATTCAGGCAAAACATACATTTAAAAATAAAAATCTTGTTAAATAATGAAAACGTGAGCTGGGTGGTGTACATCCTGGCCCTCAAGAGGCAGAGGCAGGTGGATCTCTGAGTTCGAGGCCAGCCTGGTCTATAGAGTAAATTCCATGACAGCCAGGAACTCAGAGAAAGCCTACCTCAAAAAAATAAAAATAAAAATAAAAAACAATAAAAAATGTGAGGTCCTTCTCCACATGAAGGAATTCAAGATGGTGATTGTAAACTAACACCACGTCTGGGGTCCCGTGTGTGCACAAGTTGTACACACCCATTTCCTTTACTCAGGGACCCCTGTGCCAGCTCACCTATCAAGCTCTCCAGGATTGCATCCCTCTCTTCCCTTTACTCTCCTTCTGAGTTCAGGCAGGACACTGTCTTTCCTGGAACTCATCCCATACTTCCTGTTATATCCAAGTCCAAATTCACTTGGGGATGCCCCTCCACACTACTCAGAAGCATACCCCTCTGACCCAGCCTGCCCAGCATTTGGGGAGCCTTACCTCCCACCTCACTGCTTAGAATAAATAAACTGTTCTTCCTGGGAGCCCCAGAGATCCTCACCTCTTAGATAGGAGCCTCTTTTGTCTCACGAATTATATATACTCTTGGACTGGGAATGTGTCACTTGGTGGAGTATTACCAGGAAGCCTTGGGTTCAGTTCTCAGCACTACTTAAACCAGATGTGATGGTGACATATGCAACCAGCACTGAGGAGGTGGAGCCATGAAAACTGGAGGATCAGAAGTTCAGGTCGGGGTGGAGAGATGATGGCTCAGTGCTTAAAAGCATGTACTGCGCCGGGCGGTGGTGGCGCACACCTTTAATCCTAGGACTCGGGAGGCAGAGCCAGGCAGATCTCTGTGAGTTTGAGGCCAGCCTGGGCTACCAAGTGAGTTCCAGGAAAAGGCGCAAAGCTACACAGAGAAACCCTGTCTCGAAAAAACCAAAAAAAAAAAAAAAAAAAAAAAAAAAAAAAAGCATGTACTGCTCTTGCAGAGAATCCGAATCCAGTCCCCAGTACCCACTCTAGGCTACTCAAAACCACTAGCAACTGCAGCTCCAAGGGCTCTGATGCCTTCTGTCCTCCTCAGGCATCTGCACACATGTGCACAGACATGCATACACAGACACATACATCAAAACATAAATAAAAATAAATATTTAAGAAAGCCATCCTTAGCTACATAGAATTGGGGTTAGCCTAAGCTATATGAGACTATGTCTCAAAAGTAAGAAATACCTGTTAGACAGTGGTGGTACATGCATTTAATCCCAGCACTCAGCAGAGGCAGATGGATCTGTGAGTTTGAGGCCAGCCTGGTCTACAGAGTGAGTTCCAGGACAGCCAAGGTACACAGAGAAACCCGGTCTTGTCTGGATTATCTTTTTTCTGTTTACAAATATATATATATATATATATATATATATATATATGTATAATTTTTATTTATTTATTTAGTGTGTGTGTGTGTGTAGGTGCTTTCTCTGCATGTATGTCTGTTCATCATGTGCATACAGTGACTGTGGAGGCCAGAAGAGGGCATCAGAACCCTTGGGCCTGGAGTTACAAGTGGTTGTGATCCACCTTATAGGCATAGGAATAGAACCTGGAACCGGAAAAGCAGCCAGGTAGGTCTCTTCTGCTGAGCCATGTCTTCAGCCCTGCATCCTCTTCATCCCCTGCTTGGCCCTGCTATCTAAAACAGCATTCACTAGTGTAGACTTGTCTTCATCCTCTCCCAAAGACACTGTCTCCCTCACTTATGAACTGCATTCGGCCCAAGGTCTGAACAGTAACTTAGTCCTAGAGCCCTGAACTTGGCACTGACTTGACCTAGAACCAGTGCCCCTAAATAGCTCAGAGTTAAAACATTCCCCAGGCCCTCACCTCAAAGCCATACTAGTTAGTGGGGGAGTCTGGTCACCCTTGCTTCCATATTCTACCTCCCTCACTCCCACCCCCAGGACTGGAGCCAGAGCAGTCTGAAGGGAAATGGAGGCCACCACCTGCTTCGGCAATGCTCACAGCCCAATGCAGTCAGGTAAGCCAACAGTTATTAGAGCAGTGTAGAGACACCTGGGAGAGACAGGCATGGGGGGGACTCTGCAAAGTTTTCTCTGAGAAGCAACATCCAAGTGCTGGCTACCTCTGTGTGGTACCTCAAACACAGAGCTCAACCAGGGGAGCCCTAGCTCCCTCCCCAGCCGAGCTCAGGGCCTGCTCAAGCCCCCCCCCCCCCACTTTTTTTTTTGTTTTTCGAGACAGGGTTTCTCTGTGTAGCTTTGGAGCCTGTCCTGGATCTCACTTTGTAGACCAGGCTGGACTTGAACTCAGAGATTTGCCTGGCTCTGCCTCCCGAGTGCTGGGATGAAAGGCGTGCGCCACCACTGCCCCGCGCCCCCTCTTCTTTCATCCTCCAAAAGCTCCAGAAAGTACCATGTCCTCTCCCTGTAAACTTTGGTCTGGGCCAAGGCAGACCAGAGGGCTCTCCAGAGCCAAGAGGTGCTGCCAGGATCACTGAGGTTGGAAGGTCCTAGAAGGCTGTTGGTTAAGTGACAAGCTCAGAGGAAGAAACACTGGATGAACAGGAGGGATCCAAGGAATGGATCTGGAAATAGCGTGAGGTGCTCACTGTATTTTCACATAGAACTGGCTGGGCCAGGGGTCCTCCAGAGGCCACAGGGACAGACTTCTCCAGTAACTGTGACAATGACTTCTATGACCAGCTGGCCCCAGAGCCACCCAGCCTGCTTGGGGACCAGGGAACTGGTTTGCCGAGCAAGGATGAGCTAACAAGAGATCTGGTTCTGGGCTGCCCTCCCCCTCTACATCTGGGCCTGGCCTTGGTTTCTGGCACCACTGCCAAGTTTTGGTACCGCCCACCCACCCCCGCTGGCTCTACTGGCCAGCCCAGGTCGTAATTGCTGGGTGGGGAAGTGCACCGTGGAGTGGGTACACCAAAAGGTGGGCACGTGGGCACCTGGCCCGACTGGCTCCTGGCCCTGGTGAGGAAGTAAGGCAGACGTCAGGCCAACACCTGACCTGTGAAGGGAAGAACTGCTAGGGGCCTGCTAGCCCAGAGACTTGCATTTGCAGGGACCTAAGAAGTGGAAGCGGTTACCATGGTCGGTGGGGATTGGATTGCCTAAATCACTTCTGCTTTTCTTCGGGTGGGGACCAGAGCTCAGGTGCGGGCCTGTGAGTGTGTGTGTGTGTGTGTGTGTGTGTGTGTGTGTGTGTGTGTGTGTCAGCTACTCCCAGAGAACTGTCTGGGATGCAGGATCTACCTAGTGTGACAAGTGCAAAGGGCTGAACAGTTGGGAAGGAATGGAAGGGAGAGAATCAGGAAGTACTCCTGGCTTCCACCCAGGAGCTGGCTTTTACAGCCAGGGCCCCAAACACACCCCCTTGAACACACCTACCACCCCCAAGCACATCTACACACCTGCCACTCACAGATCATAAACACAGCATCCCGAAACAGACAACTCACACCCAATCCTCCACCCTAAAAAAAGGTGGGGCTCATCATTCAGGTGTCACAGCCCAGAGCTGGTCATCTAAAGCCCTGGCACCTACTTGCTGGGTCTCAGAGGCTCACAGTCATGGCCTGAGATCTAGAGTCCTGTGACAGGATTCTTGAATGGTGCCAAGGAACGGACTGGAGGCAAAAAAAAAAAACCTGGGTGTGTTCAGTTGGGCAGGTGGATCTCTGTGAGTTCAAAGTCAGCCCAGTCTATATATTGAGTTCCAGGACAATTAGTGCTACATATCGAGACCCTGTCTCAAAAATCAAAACAATGTGGTCTACAAAGCAAGTTCTAATACAGCCAGGATGGTTACACAGAGAAACCCTGTCTGGAAAACAAAACCAAAAAAAAAAAAAAAAAAAAACAAAAAAACCAACAACAAAACAAAACCAAAACAGCTATGTTCTCCCCTGGAGCTGGGAAGCACACTGAATTTGCCTTGTGTCTCTAAGGCCACAAGGACCAAGCATAGCACTAGGCAGACAGTGAGTTTGTGGTAGCTATTCCCATGATGCATCTGTAACAAAGCGATGTCTCTCCAGAGAAGCGGTTCTCAGGCCCTGAAGTCGAGACCCCTTTGGGGGGTGTCCACTACCCTTTCACAGGGGTCACCTAAGACCACTGGAAAACAGGCATTTACATTACGATTTGTGACAGTAGCTATGAAGCAGGAATGAGAATAATTTTTGGGGTCACCACAGCATGAGGAACTGCATTAAAGGGCTGAAGAATTAGGAAGGTTGAGAACCACTGCTCTAGAGGAAGGGACCCCAAAGTGGAGACGCACACCTATAACCCCAGCGTCTGGGAGGCAGGGACAGGAGGATTTTGAGTCCAAGGCCAGCCTGGGTAACACTGGGAGACCCTGTCTAAAACTAGGTAAAAGAAAGCAGGCAGGCTAAGGTGTAATTAGCACAGGTCTGTAATTCCAACACGTGGGCAGCAGAACCCCTCAAGGTTGGCCTGGTCTACACAGAGTTCCATGTTAGTTTGGTCTACATAGCAAAACCTTGATGCAAAAAAAAAAAAAAAAGGAACAGAAAAGGCAGGTAGAGGTATCAGCTGAATCAGTCACTACTAACCCAAGGGGAGCCAAGCCCTCAGGATGCATGACACTAAGGTAGGAGTGACTGAAGGGTTTCACAGGATCCAGGACCAGCTTTAGCGGAAGCAGAGGTTTAAAGGGTCAGTTTAGAGGCCAGGTACAGAATGAGGGGCTCCTTCCCCAGAGCTTTCTAGAATACAAACCAGACCTTCTGCATAAATAAGATACCCCACAGGCCTCTAACCGCCTATGGAAATGACCCACAGTTCCTGCACCTGCCTCTGGCCCCTGGCCACGGAGGGAGGGGCACACCACAGCTGGGGATGGCAGAGCCCACAGGAACTTTTAACATGTTCCAGAGGAAACTGTCTTGAGGTGGTTCGAAACCCAGCAGCTGCCTGGGCACCCAGGGTCTAGACAGCCCACCAGAAAAACACTTCATGTTCTGCAAATGCCTCAGCCGACCAATCCTTTTGTTTGCCCGGTACTGTTTCTTCTCAAACGTCAGACGGTGTTGAAGAAAGGGGTTGCAGCCCACACAGCAGCTCAGGACTGTGTGGTATAGAAGCAAGGCAGAGCACTCCTCCATTCTCCAACACGCAAGATCTGAGACTGCACGGGGCACACACTCTTCCCACCACCACGACTAGGGAAAGGGGCACAATGTTCCAAAGCCTGGAACATCTGATCATCCATGATCCCTGGACTCAGGCCAAGGACAACGTTATCAACTGGGCCTCCTTATAGAAAATGCGCTTTTATTCTGGAGGAGGCCAGTCTTCCCACCCCTGGCTCCTTCCATGGAGGTAGACCTCATGCCAGGTCTCCAGCTACCCGCCCTCGCTCCTGCCCTTCTGCATCCTGGGGCTGAGGCTTCGATGGCTCCAACCTACTTTACCGGGTCACACCCACTGAAGGGAGCAGGGCTGGGCCCTGCCTGGGTCTGTTTCTCTGCCAGCCAGACTTTGCTATAGCTTCTGGAGCAAGGCACCTTATCCAGCCCATTGCCTGCTGGAGCCCTCCTCTGGGTGGGCCTCCCATCCCTGAACTGGCCTCCACAGATTCTGCCTCAGACCAGTGCAAGGGAGGAGCCTGCCATCTCCTGGTATCTTCTTGACAGCCTGCCTGCTGTCAGCACACTTGGCTAGCGTCAGATTTTGGAGGACTCCAGTCGGGGACTCCAGGATGTAGGGGGCTCCCGCAGCACCCGCAGCTCCTGCTCGAGTGCCTGGTTCCGGCGGTACATGTCCATGTAGCCCCCTTGGATTTCTCGCTGGTAGCGCAGCACCCTCTCCTTCTCCTCCTGCCAAGTCTGCCGCTCCTGCTCGAAGCGCAGCGCCTGCTCCTGGCCACGCAGCCGCTCTTGCAGCAGCTCAGCCCGCAGCTGCTCGGCCCCTTCTCGGGCTTCGCTGCCTCCTGCCTCCCCCCGCAGTCCCCTGCTCTTGCAGTCATCCGTCTCGCAGCTGCCTGGGGCTTCCTCCCGAGGCGCCTGCTCTTGCAGGCTGCGCACCGTCTCCCGCAGCCGAGCCAGCTCGGCGTCCTGAGCCTGGGCCTGTGCCCGGCTGCCCCGAAGCTGCGTCTTCAGATTGAAGATCTCAGCCAGCTTCTGGGCCAGCTCCGCCTGGACTTCCCGAAGCTGCTGTTTCAACAGACTAATCTCCGCCGTCTTCTGGCACACCTGGGTGTAGGGACAAACCGTGAGCAAAGGCCAAGCACAGAAGGATACTGGGGCCGGCTGCAGGGTAGAGGCAACAGGGTATGGGACCAGGACAGAAGCTGATGCCTACGATGGCGTCCTACCTCCCATCGGGCTTCCTCCTCCGCCCGGGCACTGGGGTCAGCCTCCACTTGGGGACCAGAGGTCCGAGGCTCCGGGCCGAGGCCCTGCTGAGCCCGCAGCTCCTTGCGCAGGCGCCGCTGCTCCTGTTGGGCCATAAACAGCTGCAGCTGGAGGTTGCGCTCGCTGCGCTCGGCTTTCTGGGCCACCTCATGCAGCCGTTCCACATACAGGCGCTTCAGCTCAGACAACCACAGCCGCTGGCGTTCCTCTAGCACCTAGAGGGAGGAAGAGGAACTGGTTAGCGGTGGCGGGCACAGCCTCGCTCAGATTTCCACCGCTAGCCGGCCCCCTCATAACAATGCTCCTTTGTGCCCACAGCCTGCCACCACTAAACCTAGGTGTCTGCTGCACCCAGGCCACAGGGCCCAGCGTCCTGGCCACATGTGCTTCACACCCAAAGAGGCTCTCCACAGAGAGCGTTACTAACACATGGTCTTCACAGAGACTGTCTCCCTCCTTCCTACACAATTCCCAGACAGAACCAGAGTGACAGGGCATCTCTGATACGTAGTTGAGGGATAGCTAAGGTTAGAATTCTCTTTCTTTTCAGGGCTGAGACTGGAACTTCGGGCCTCACACATGCAAGGCAAGCACACTACCCCTGAGCTATAGTCCCGGCCTACAGGTGTCTTCTCTGTCTTCCTTTAAGACCAATGGGAGAAAGGACACCATCAGGGGCATAAACGTCCATCTCACTGCTCTGGTCCCACCCTCCGCTGCCTCTATCGTACAGCTGCCCCTCGATATCATACTGTGTTTAGGACTTGGTCATGGTTTGTCCCCACCCCCAACTGTACCAGCCATCAGAAATTAATCTGGCCTATATCTCAATGCCAAGGGACAAACTACTCCAGGGCAGGACTCCCTCACCTGGGTAAAGGGGTTAGAGACATCCTGGTCACTGAGGTCCCTCTTGAGTTCCTCGCAGGTCTCAGGCAACATGGCTACCTCCTCACCAGCGGGGCAGGAGAACTCGTAGGGGGGAGGTGGCTCAGGCAGGCAGCTCAGTACAGCCAGAGGTCCAGACTCCTTGGGGCTCCTTGAAGCACGGTCCAGTGAACCCCCAAGGTGATTAATGTGGCCCAAAGAGGAGCTGAAGGGGCCGGGGCCAGTGCCTGGACTCCGGCCAAAACTACCCCCGCTGGAAGAGTCCGAAAGACTGGGCTCAGGGCCACCTTCATCTAGGCTGAGGGCGTGAAGCAACTGTGCACGGGCCTGACTGGCCCGAGGCCCGGGGCTCAGGGGTGGGTGGCAGGCCAGCGTGTGCAGACTGCCATTGCTTCGCCACAACTTCTGGCCCTTGTGGGCCGCCAGGCTCTGCATGGACAGGAAGCCTTTCCCAGTGCCCACAGGAGGCTTGAACACCGACGGACGAATTCGGCACTGCCAGGAAAAGAACACAGGCATGAGTAGGGTTGGCCACTTTTTCCTGCCTACCTGAGGTTTCTGAAGGTCCTCAGGATCCCCTCTGAGAATACAGGGTACATGTCACAGGGAAGCAGTGGTCAAACTTCAGGCTGGCCCCTATGGAGCAGACTCCTCACACTTCCAGCCTGCCCTAGCCTATCGTCAGGGCCTCCCAGCTGACCACCCAAGCGTCATGGTCTCCAAGTTGGGCCCAAACCCCCACAATAGAGGTCGGTGCACCTTGTCAAAGCGACCCCGCTCAGGCAGGGAAGTCTTGCTGAAGTCACCAGCCCGAGGATGCTCGCGGTAGTAGAGGGTGGCATAGTCCGGCTCATTCCGAGGCACTCGCTTACTGCTCTTGCCGTCCTTCTTGGGGAGATGCAGGTAGCTGAAGAGCTCACGCTGGCCCAAGCCTTTCCGGAGGAGCCCATCAGCCTGCCGGGAGCCCCGGGACCCAGCCAGTGCAGCCCGAAGTTCTTCGGGGGAAAAGTCCTGCCGTTCCAACAGGCTGCCCACGCTGCCCATGGCAATGCCAGCAGGGCCGGAGGCTGTGGCCATGAAGGTTCAACAGGGCACAGGCAGCTGACTCTGAGAATCAGAAGGCTCCATTAGTGGCAGATGGGCACTCAGTACCCAAGTCCCCAGATGCTCTAAAGCCAGACACGTGCCATCTGTTAGTCCCCAATTTGCCCAGGCCCATCAGAGGCAGATATGCGTGAACAGGATAGGATTCACAGAATGGCAAGGGAAAGGGTACACTGAACACTGTGTCACACTAAGTCTAAAAAAAAAAACCACGGGGCTTCCACTGGGACACCGAAAGGAACAGTTTCAGATGGGGGTCTGGTGTGCAGTGTAGAGGCAAGGCAGGAAAGGGAGACCCTCAAGCAGTACGACAGGGCCCTCCTCCTAGAACTGGGCCAGCACAGGGCAGAGGGTGGACTCAGGCAGTCTGCCCCATGACCCTGCTTACTTCTGACAGGTTCTCCACCAAATCTGTGGCATGCAGAGCAAGCACACTGAACCAGGACTGGAGATCTGTTCCTCTGTCTTCTCGAGGTGGGAAGCCCCTCTTCCCTCAGAGGGTCAGAGGTCTCCCCAAGGAAACATCTGGAGTGGGTGGGGCTGGGGGAGGGTACAGTGGGAGGGATATACTAACAGGAAAGGCCCACAGGGAGGAAGGATGGTGACCACACAGGAAGGGCCTAAGGGGAGGAACAATGGCTCCTGTTTCCGGAACAGGTGTTCAGATCCAGGCAACGATGGGAGGCAGAGGGAAGAAGCGGTTGGTGGTGCTCTGTGATGCCACTGAGTTCTGCCGTTAGCCATCACCAGCCATGTCCCCAGGACCTTAGCCAGGCCTAACCTCTGTGAGCCTTGTCTTCCCCGGGAGCAGAGAAAGTCAGTGGCAGACAGCGTTTATCACTTAGGGATGCTGAAAAAAAAGGTGTGAGATAATGTGGGCCAGGCACCTAGTCCAGGCCTGGCCTGAAGCCACGGTCAACACTGAACACCCAAGGCTAAGTTAGTCACACACTCCAACTCCACACCAAGGGACCAGGCTTATGGACTCTCTCATGTGTTCTGGGGCCCAACACTCTGGAGACTGGTGCCTGTGCCACACCCATTGCCTGGCATACGGTTAGTGCAAACAACCGGCGCTGAGTGGCACCTTTTCTGCCTCCCACCCCCACACACAGCTGCTCCCGATGCCAGGCAGATGCCTGGCAGGCAGGCTGCAACTGGAAGTACCCACCACCACCCACCCAATATGCTTCCGGGACACCCACTCCCACCCCAAACAATGGTTTAGGAGGCTCCATCCTCAACCATTTCCAGGCTTTGTGTTTGGGAAGACAAAGCTCTCTCTGGTAGAGGGAGGGCAGGCCTTGTCCCTACCCCACTCTACAGCCCTCGATTGCACCCTCGGCAGAAAAGAAAAAAAAAAAAAAACAACGTTGTGGTCCTCTTCTGAATAACTGTCTTACACCACTCAAAGTGGGGTGCAAGTCTGAGCTTGGACACTCTGCCCAGTCCCGTGTGAACAGAGTCATACCCTTCTAGGGATATCACAAGTCACGTAAATTCAAGAGATTCAACCAGGTTCTGGGACTACCATAGTAACATGGCACTTTGTAGGAGTCTCCAGGGGGCTATGGCCCCAGTACCCCTCTTTTTAAAGGCAAGCTCTTGGAGACGCACAGAGCTGGGCAGTATAAGAACGCATGGGATCCCAACACCAGGGCTGCCAAGTGTCTGACAGGACTCAGGATGGCACCCACAACCAAAAGAACTAGAACAGGGTCACCTTGCCTCGGAATTCAACATTGCCTCGCCCTGACAAGCCCACCCTGTGAGACATCACTGCATTCGAAATGTTCTTTCTCTCTCCCTCCCAGGGGACCCTAAATGCCTGTCCCTGCATCTTGCCTTGCCTCTCTTAACTTCCATCAGGATGATTGACAGAGAGGTAACAGGGATGAAAGGGCTTTGTGAACTGTTAAGTCCTGTGTGCCCAGGGCTTGGGGGCACTGCCAAACATGCCCACTTCACCCCAAACACACACACCCTCACCTTCCTCTGTGCAGATACTCACTTCCAGTCTCAAGAGAAAAAACTGACATCCTATGGCGCCCACTATGTAAATAGCTCTATACAGAACACAGTGTCAGAGTATGGGTCCACAGAGAAACGTGTGTTCGAGGACAGTCGTATCCAGCAGCGGACAACACAGTTTGTGCAAGGTCATCCACCATCCACCCATCTCACATTGCACTCACTGCCTGCTCCATCTGCGGGGCTGAGGCCCCAGGCCACCCAGGTCTTAGTCTGGAGACAAACCCTCCTCCTGAAAAATCCACCCTACCTCTGCCCCTCCCCCAATACGCACATTCCTTCTTGCCCGTTGCTTAGAAGCCTTGGGATTGCCTGCTCAGACCAGGGCAGCTGTGCAGGCTCTATGGCCTGTGATTTGATGGGGGTGGAGGAGAGAGAGCTGGCAAGTGCCTCAGAACCTCTGGGGGACCAGAGCAGAGCAGAAAGCGGGGGTTTCCACCAAGTGCCTGGGCTGTGCTGCCACAGTAGGGCGCCTATCTTAATGCCTGGGGCTCTGTAAGGGGCTGAATACACACCATTACCCAGCTGGCCACAGCAGAACCCCTTCATTCCCATCTGCCTCTGCCCCCACGTAATGCCAGAAGAGCAGAAATCCCTAAATAGAGGTGCTCAGTGACATATAGTGGGGCACCCCAGCACCAGACCCTGGGTACCTCTTCAAAACACACCTGTGAATACGCTTACTTTTTGCTTCACTGGAGGAAACAAGGAGACCAAGAGGGAAATGACATGCGTGACCAAGGTCATGTTCAGCTGCACGGGAGGAAGTGTCCTGGCTTCAAAGACGCAGCTTTCCTTGCATTTCCTTTGAGTTGGGGCACCTCGGCCTCCGTGTGGTAGGAGTACTGTCTGGCTGAACTGCCATTAGTCCCATCCCCTGCCATTAGACCCAGGGGAGGGTCACACCACCTGCTGGGGGGGATCAGCCCTTCTGAGGGGTGTGTCTGCAGCTGCCCCAGAGGAATGAGACTGGAATGTCCCAACTCCAAAAATGGGGACAGCCTGAGAGGTGGTGGGGGTGGCTGGCATACCCTGCCCCCTCGGCAGAATTATTCCGACTCGCTCAATGCACAGGGCTTTTTCAGTGTTTCTCAGCTCTTCTATTTCATAATGTCACATCCTCTCTCCACAGTAGTCGGTGGAGACAGACAGGGCAGTAAGGATCCTTATCTACAGATAGGAAACTGAGGCTTAAAAGGAAGCACGACTCGTCTAAGATCCCACTCCGAGGGCCAATCTGGATTCCCCCAGTAAAGCCCTCTATACTACACCCAGCTGTCCCAGCTAGGGGTCACCTTCCACCCGCATACACTGCTGTCTGTGTAGCCTTCCCAGCCCCCATGCTTGTTTCTCTCAAGGGCATCTACGGATAGGCTGGGTGGGATGGAACTTCACCCCCTCCCAGGATCTCTCCTAGCCCGCCCTGGGGGAAGAAGGTAGGAAGAGATAGTGGAAGTGGCGATGGCTTAGAGACTCGAAGCTCTGGAAACTGCTAGAGGCGGTGTTGGGAGCTGGCTGGTCGCTTTCATTCACAGTCTCGCACATACACACCCACACGCAGCCAGTCGGCAGAGGAGCCCTGCTTGGGAGAGCCTGGGAGGAGGCTGATCACCAGGTCCAGGAGGGCCTCCCGCCTCTGCTCCCTCCCAAGGACAGTCATGACCAATATGCACTTCTGGGGTGGGGACGTCCCAGGTCCCCATCTGAATAGAGACAAGGTCCCGGTCCTCACTTTTGTCAAAGGCTGAGGTCAGGACTGGAACAGAGTCCCGGACCTCGGGACATCCCCTATCCGCAGGTCGCTGGCTGAGGACTAGACAGGGTAGGGGGCTGGAGCAGGAAGAGGATACCTTGAGGGCGAGGGCAGGTGAGCGGTGTCCCCGGGAAGGCGGCAGAGAAGACAGGTTGGCCATCCCGATGGAACTACGCCCGGGCAGGCAGTAGGAAAGCGAGAGATCCCAGAACTGCGGGAGGCCCCAGAGCTACCCAGGGGGGCGGGGTGGGGTGCACACATCCCGCCCGCCGTCTGCCGGGCCTGCCTGGAGCTGCTGCAGGGGGCGGAGGCCGAGGTCAGACTCCTGCGCCAAGGGCGCCAGCCCCTCCTAGCTGCGGCGCAGGGGTCTCGGGCGATGCTCCACGGAACGCTCACGTACAGGTCAGCCTCGTGCGCGGGAGCGGAGGACACCGGGGCTCGCACCGCATCCTGCCATCCCCCGCCGGGGTCCGACAACGACCTCGGCGACCCGCCCTGCCCACTTACCATGCTGGCGCCGAGGATCTCAGGGCGCGCTGCAGTCCCCAGCTCGGTCTCGAACCTTTCTCCTCGCAGGCTCTTCGGGCAGGCGCGGGAGCCGGATCGGCGGGCAGAGGACGCGCTGGGCGACACTCTTCTCCTGGCCCCAGAGGCGGAGGGAAAACCCGGCCTGACTCACCCGCGCGGCGCGAGCCCCAGAGCCCGGCCCGGCCCCCGGATGTGGGAGGCGGACACCGACGCCGCCCCCGAGCGACCTGAGCCCCGCCCCGGCTCGGGGGTGCAGCGGGGCGATCCCCCGGTGCCGCGCTCGCTCGCGTGCAGCTGCACCGCAGACCGGGACCCGGCCGAGGCTCCAGAGCGCGCGCCTCCCGGCTGCTCCTCCTTCCTCCAGCTCCGGGCCTCGCCCGCCTCTCCCGGTTTCCTTCCAGAACCAGCTTCCAAACTGGCGCGCTGGGGTGGGGCGGTCACGTCTCTGCTCCTCGCCGCCCCTTTCCCAGGTGAGCACCACTTTCCTCCGCTCTGAGAGCCGAAGAGGTGTAGTCGTTGCGTCTCCAGTCGTTGGCAGCTGGATCGGGAGCAGGGCTTTTATTTTGGAGGGAGGTTAGTTTGCCTCCGATGCCTTCTAGGGGCGGCAGGTTCAGATGCCTTCAGGGGCCAGACCGATAATGTAAATGAGTCACATGGGCCGGGTAAGGCTGTAGCGGGACGGAAACAGAAGGCTGGACACCCAAACACGTTCAAGTTCAGGAAGTTAGAACGCCCTTTCTCCCTTAAAAAGTTAATTACAGATGGGTGAGGATGTGTGTGTGGGGACATGACTCTGGTTAAGAGCAACAGAGGATCCGGGTTTGGTTCCCAGCACCCACGTGGCGGCTCACAACCCTCTGCAACTCCATTTCCCTGGGATCCAATGCCCTGGCCTCTGGGGGCATTGCACTCACGTGGTGCACATTTACTCACGCAGGCACACACATACACGTGTATGTGCACTTCCACTTCGAGACAGGGTTTCTCTGTGTAGCCCTGGCTGTCTAGAAACTCGCTCTGTAGCCCAGGCTGGCCTCTAACTCAGAGATCCGCTTGCCTCTGCCGCCCGAGTGCTGGGATTAAAGGCACACGCCACCGCCTGGCCTCGTTTCATTTTTAAAAGTAAGTTAAACGGATTTTGGGATATTACCTAGCACTTCCATTCCTGGGTGTATGGCCAAAGAAACTGAAATCAGGTATGTCAACAGGTACTTGTACTCAGAGATTCATGACAATACTGTGCACAGTAGTCAAAAGGAGGAAACAGATCAACCTCTCCATCGATAAGGGATAGTGTGGTCCACCCGTACAGCGGAATATTATTTACCACAGAAAAGGGATAAGTGCCATCCTGTGCTACAACTCAGATAAAACTCTAAAAAGCGATGCCAAATCCACGAACTCACCCACAAAAGGCCACGTATGGAGTGATTTCACACATGTGAATTAGGTAAACCCTTATGTACACACTGCAGATTTGTGCTGCAAGGAAGGAGAAGTGAGGGTGATTCCATACTAGTTGTGGGGTTTCATCTTGGTGTCAGGCAGGGGTTGAAGCACTTTCTGCCATTCTTTTTGAAATGTCTCAGAGGGCTGGGTGTGGCTCAATGGTAGAGCAAGCACTCAGAGTGCACCTGAGGCCCTGAGTTCAATTCCCAGTACCCCAAATTCAAATGGTAATGTATCATGCAAAACTTACTTCATTTAAACAACAAAACAAGCCAGGCGGTAGTGGTGAACTTGTTGTTTTGTTTGGTTTTGGTTTTGGTTTTTTCCAGACAGGGTTTCTCTGTGTAGCTTTGGAGCCTTTCCTGGAACTCGCTCTGTAGACCAAGCTGGCCTCGAACTCACAGAGATCCACCTGCCTCTGCCTCCCGAGTGCTAGGATTAAAGACATGCATCACCACCACCCCGGCTCAAGAACATTCTTGAGGAGAGAAGAGGTCAAGCTAAACTCTGAATTCTTTTTTGTTTGAGAAATGGTCTCCTGTAGGGCAGGCTGCCCTTGAACTCATTTTGTAGCAGAAGATGGATTTGAACTCCTGATCCTCAGTTTTCCACGTTATAAATACTGGGATTGTGCCGGGCGGTGGTGGCGCACGCCTTTAATCCCAGCACTCGGGAGGCAGAGCCAGGCGGATCTCTGTGAGTTCGAGGCCAGCCTGGGCTACCAAGTGAGTCCCAGGAAAGGCGCAAAGCTACACAGAGAAACCCTGTCTCGAAAAACCAAAAAAAAAAAAAAAAAAAAAAAAAAAAAAACTGGGATTGTGTGTGCCCTAGCTCTTTAAATACTTACTAATTGTTATTGTTGTTGTGTGATGTGTATGCATTTGCATGTAGGGGGAGGTCAGAGGACAACCTTGTGAAGTCAGTTTCTCTCTCTGTCCCTTTACATTAGTTCTGGGGATTGAACTCAGGTTCAGTCAATCAATCAGGTTCAGCAAGGGCTTTGCCCCTTGAGCCCCCTCTCCTGCCCTACCTGTAAGTGTTGAGGGTGACTCGGGTTCAGTGGGATCCAAGCCCACCTCTCCCCTTCCTGGATCCCTTTCTTCTTTACAAATGCAGTAACTTATCCACGTTCCTCTGGTTTCTTCCCGCCCTCCCCAGTGTTCTTCCCCTATACAGGGCTTGCAGTGGAGAGGGAAGGTGGTTGTGTCTCAGGCATCCCAGGAGGAAGGACTAGATCATAGGCCCCTCCCCTCTGGAGCCCAGATATGTCAAGAATGAACACAGGAGAGAGGGTGGAGGCTCCTGGCTGAACAGAACACTCAGAGCTGGCCTCAGGTGAGGATCGTGGCTGGGCTGTGGAGCTGAGGGGCTAGAGCAGAGGCAGAGGACAGCTTGAAGAGAGGTGTCCTTTGGGGAAGCAAGGGAAGGTCAGGGGCAGACTACTTGTCTCCACCTTCTGCACTGGGTAGAGACTCCAGACTGCTAAGACCACCCTCCTGCCTCTAGAGAGCTGGCCTGACAGATACTGCCTAGCTTTGAGCGTGTTGTTACCCTGGTAACCTTGATGGGGAATGGCAAGGCAGACAGGACCAGCTGACCCTGTAGGGAAGTAGGCTCAGTCATAAGCCAGTACCTTCTCTTCCCCTAGCACCCTGACCCTGTCCTCCGTGTGTTTGCAAGGCTAAGGCCTAGGACATGTCATTGAACTCTTGGATGTCCTCGGTTCAGCCCTCTCTGATGGAACACTTGGGGTACAGAGCGGGGGACATGATCTGCCTCCCCCAAAGGGCCCCAAAGGGTCTGCCTTTCTGAGGTCTTAGAGAGAAGGTGGGCTGGACAGAGGTGGGGGGGATCAGAGGCCATCAGTAGACCAGGCCGCTTTCCTCTCACCCCAATTTTGCCTCACATCGAAAGAGACTAGACTCACGTAAGGAGTTGGCCCTGGGGAGGGGGGTGTACCCACTGAACTCTGTCCGCCTCTTGGGTTCATCATGTAGACACATATACATGAGTCTCTGTCCTCACATTTGACAGACCTTTGGATTTGGCATGCAAGCCACGCTGTTCAAAGGAGTGAGGCACTCCGGGCACCAGGCCAGGGCTGAAGTGAAACCAAATTCCCTGGGTGTACCTATTTCCTGGATTCGCTAGCCTTGGACAATTTAACTTCCTTCAGTTATCTGCAACCTGCAAGTGCCCAAGACAGTAGGGTCCTAGGGCTACCCATGGGGAGTGGGAGTTTACCCCGTCTCCAGCCGCCACCTCTGGCCCCGTCACCTTTCTTCTCCACGGTTGCGACAGCCCTCCTGGGCTCCTCTTCACTCTGCCCCAGAGGAACCTTCTAGCCCACACATTGGTCTCCAGTTCTCCGAAGCCCGAGAGGTAGACTCTCAGCCTCCGGATCGGTCCTGCCACTCCTTCAGACTGAGACCCTAGCATGACTGCCATCACCCATGTCCTGGGACCCGCCTCGGTCTCCTCCGCTGTAATTGGCTGGTTTGGGGGTCACCCACTATCTTCAAGGTCTCTCTGCCCACCCTCAACAAGTAATTGATCACACCGCCTCCACTCTCGGCCTTTTCCTTTTCCCAGTTGCCCTTTTACCGAGTGCCAGCATCTCTGGGTCACGTGACCTGTCTTGTCACGCCCAGAAAATAGCAAACCCTGAACACGTAGGGACTGGTGCCCAGTCCAGAGTCCCCCAAGGTCTTGGAGGGGCTTGGGAAACACCATCCCAACATATTACAGTGACTGTGCGGGCTTCTTTGAACTGAGGCCTGGGAACAGCAAGAGGGGACCCTCCTGACTCCGTGAACAAGCTGGACAGCCCTGTTTCTAATTTCTGACACGGGGTCTCGTTATCTAGCCCAGGTTGACCTGGAACTCACAACCCTGCCTGCCTCTGTAGTGCTGTGAGTACAGGTGTGAGCCTCCATGTCCGGCTTCTGTATCTAACAAGACAACCTTGATTCACCACGAAGCTCCTCCATTCATCTTCCTGAATTTGTCCATACCCATCCTTCCATCCCAGGAGCCGAGAGCCGGTATCTTTTCTGTAGCACCAACTGTTTGTAAGGATATACAGTTTTTCTCCTTTTGTTTGTCTGTCTGTTTGTTTGTTTGAGGCAGGGTCTCTCTGCATAGCCTTGGCTGTCCTAGAACTCACTATATAGAATAGACTGACCTCGACCTCACAGAGATCCACCTGCCTCTCTCTCCCAAGTGCTGGGATTACGTGTAAGCACCACCACACCTGGCAGTTTTTCTTTTCTTTCTTTTTTTTTTTTTCCAAGTGGAGGTCTCATGCACCCCAGGCTGGACTTGAACATGCTATGTGGCCAGAAGACCTCACACTCAAGAGATCCACCCACCTCTGCCTCTCAAGTGCTGGGGTTGAACCCAGGGCCTCGTATATGCTAGGCAAGCACTCTACTAACTGAGCTACACCTCCAGTTTCTCCTTTAAAAAAAATTTATTTATGTGTATGTGTGCCTGATTGTATGTGCCTCATGTGCCCAAGTAGGCCAGAAGAGGACGATGGATTCCCCAGGAGCTAGAATTCGAGGCATTTTTATACTGCCTGGTGTGGGTGCTAGGAGTCGAACTTGGGTCCTCTGTAACTCAGGAGGTGCTTAATCGCTCCAGCCCCAGTTTTCCTCCTCTTAATCTGTCTAATGACAGTTTAATTGGTGGACCGACCAAGAACTTAGGAGGGCAGAGAGAAGCCATCTGCTCTCACTGCGGTCTCCTCCGGGGCCTCACGGCTGGCCGTGCTCCTCTCCACACACCATCTGCCCCCAAAGGAACTTCACGGCTCTTCTAACCAGGAAGAGAATGAAGAAAGGTGGGTATTGCCCTGGACCCTGGCTTTGGAACTGGCTGGTGATCTTTCTGAGTCCCGGATTCTTGGCTTTGTGAAACAGGACAAATCACTAGATTAAGTTCACTCAGGTGCACGAG